TGCTCTACACAGTAGTGGAGGAAGGGAGGGGTGGTGGTGCACACTGAGTACCCCGGACGGCTGTTGGGCATCATGGGGGGCTGCAGGTAAGCTGCAGGGTGGTGGAGCCACTGTTCGTCCCTCAAAAAAGTCCAACAACTTCGGCTGGAGTCCTAAAAAAGGCTCTGCCCCGGGCACCGGTATGTGTGTGTATGTGCTATGCCACTGGCTCTACAAGGGAGAATCCGAACCAAAGGATTCAAATGACAAGAAAGGAGATTCAAACTAAACATTGGAAAGAACCTTCTGATTGTAAGAGCCATTTAGCAGGAGGACAGACTTAGCTTGGAAGGGGGTAGAGGTTTTCGAACAGAGCGATTCTTTAGCTGTGATTCCGGTGTTGCCCAGGGTTGGACATGAATGACCTTGGGGTACCATCCATCTCTATGGCTCTATGACCGGTCCTGAAAGACCTACATTGGCTCCCAGGACGTTTCCGAGCACAATTCAAAGTGTTGGTGCTGACCTTGAAAGCCCTAAACGGCCTCGGAGCGTCTCCACCCCCATTGTTGTGCCTGGACACTGAGATCCAGCGCCGAGGGCCTTCTGGCAGTTCCCTCCCTGCGAGAAGTGCGGTTACAGGGAACCAGACAGAGGGCCTTCTCAGTGGTGGCACCCGCCCTGTGGAACACCCTCCCTTCAGATGTCAACGAGAACAACAACTACCAGACTTTTAGAAGACATCTGAAGGCAGCCCTGTTTAGGGAAGCTTTTAATGTTTAATAGGTTATTGTATTTTAGTGTTCTGTTGGAAGCCGCCCAGAGTGGCTGGGGAGGCCCAGCCAGATGGGCGGGGCATAAATAATAAATTATTACCTTCCTACCCTTTGTGGCTTCCAGAAACTGATACTCAGTAACATCACAGCCTCCAGCCGTGAAGGCAGATCACAGCCATTGTGGGTTATAGATTCGATAGTCCTCTCCTCCTCCATGAATTTGTCTCACCCTCTTTTTAAGCTACCCCAGTTGGTGGCCATAGCTGCCTTATGCAGAAAGGAGGTTCCAAAGATTAGCTATGGAAGTACAGGGCAGCACATTGACGGAAGCTGGTTGGCCACTTGGAGAATAGGATGCTGGACTAGACGGGCCATTGGCTTCATCCAGCAGGGCTCATGTTATGTTTATTTTGATTATTATTATGTTTATTATTATTAAAGCTGCTGTTGAGAATTGTCCTCCTGGTTGTGGGCCTCTTTAGTGCCTAGTTCCTGCCTTGCGAGTCAGCCATGCTCTCTTGAACTTCTAACACAGACTCTCACGTGAGCATCCAGCAAAATGAGGCAACCGGTGTTATGTTTTCCACTATTTCCTCTGTGCTGACAGCTCGGAAAGGCGCCAACCTGGATCCGCCAACAGCAGAGAAGTTGACATCGGCCGTTGTCCTTGTGCAATTGGGCAGCCCACGCTCAGTCAGCGCTCTTTGGGGTCTAGTGAATGTGCAGCGACTGGCAGTTATTACACGCAGGGAAAGAGGAAAGGAAGGGGTCGTGGAAACAGCCCTTCTGAGAGCACAGATGCTTCTGAAACAATCCTCATTTAGGGAAGGGCTCAGCTCACGGGCTTTGCATGCAAAAGGTCCCTGGGTCAGGGACAGCGTCTCCAAATAGGGCTGCGAGTAACTCCTGCCGGAATCCCCTTACCAGTCGGGGTAGATAATACTGAGCTTTAATTTTTTCATTTCCCACCCTTCACCCCAAAGTCCCAGAGTGGACTACTGCATTAAAAACAATTTAAAACAACTTGCAGCTATAAAACGGCCTCGACCCAGTAGACCTGAAGGAGCATCTCCACCCCCATCGTTCTGCCTGGACACTGAGGTCCAGCGCCGAGAGCCTTCTGGTGGTTCCCTCACTGGGAGAAGTGAGGTTACAAGGAAGCAGGCAGAGGGCCTTCTCGGTGGTGGCGCCCGCCCTGTGGAATGCCCTCCCACCAGATGTCAAGGAAATAAGCAGCTATCTGACTTTTAGAAGACATCTGAAGGCAGCCCTGTTCAGGGAAGTTTTTAATGTTTGATGTTTTATTCTGTTTTAATATTCTATTGGAAGCCGCCCAGAGTGGCTGGGAGACTCGGCTAGATGGGCGAGGTATAAATAAATAATAATAATAATAATAATAATAATAATAATAATAATAATAATAATAATAATAATAATTAAAATGAGGTGGGTCCTAAAACCACACACCTCAGGTGTAAAAAGCCAAAGTGAGAAGATGCATCATCAGCAACCTCTGCAGGGTGCACAGTGAAGGTGCTAGGCACACATCCATGGGGAGGGAGCTCTGCAGCTTGGGGGCCACCACAGAGAAGGCCCTCTCCCCCTGGGCCTCTGAAAGTGGAGCGACTACCAAGAGGGCCCCTCTCCGCCCATTGCAGCATTCAAGAGGGTCTGTAGGGAAGGTCCTTCAGGTATTTGGGACCTGAGTAATTCAGGGCTTTAAGCACCAACGTGAATTGCGCCAGGAAACGAAAGGGCAACCTGCTCAGCTCTTTTAAAACAGGGGTTGTGCGAGATCTAAATGGAACCTTGGCTGGAAGTCGGAGTGCTGCATTTTGGACCAACGTGGAGTGAATTGCAATAACCCAGCTTGGAAGTCACCAGAGTGTGCTGTACAGTAGCCAGATGGACCAGAGGTCTGACTCAGAATAAGGAATCTTTCTGTGGTCTATGTTTCTATCTGAATCCCCCCATGCCCAGATTTTGGAGCTCTTTCCAAAGTGGAACAAAATGCCTTAATGATCTGCTATTGCTGCTATTATTATTATTATTATTATTATTATTATTATTATTATCCCATCCCTTTCCCAAACTGGCAGCTTACATAAATTAAAATGACACATGCCAATTTAAAAAAGCTAAAAACATACCAAAGATAGTCATTAGAAAGAAATTAAACCCTAATAGAATTAAAATAATTTATCTATCTACCTGTCTGGGCAGGTTCATAGGAGGGAATACGGTCTTTCAGATAGCCTGACCTAAGCCATTTTAGGTCTTTGCCCAACTTCTGAATTTGTATAGGACACAAATTGCACATGTGCCTTAACCCTAGGGCTCTCTTTCCATTTCTCTCTCCCTGCCCCTCCAGGCACACTGAGGGCACACAGCAAGAAAGCAAACAGTGTTGTGCCACATGCACAACACCCACATCAATATTCCTGAGGAAAGAGGTTGCACCAGCTTGCAAGGGCCAATGGACTCCTTGGTTAAGCGTCACTGGAAAAGAAGAGGTCTAAAAGCATACAGACAATCACCCCATAGAATCGCTGGAAGGTACCCCAGAGGTCATCTAGTCCAACCCCCCTGCAATGCTGGAATTCTGGAATTTCAGCAGAAGAATCCCTGACGGGTGTCCCTCCAACCTCTGCTTATAAACCTCTGGAGAAAGAGAGTTTGCACCCCTTCCCAGGTCGATGGCTTCTTCTTTGTCCTTGTAATAAAGTGGAAGGATGGGAGGAAGCCTCCCAAGGGAGAAAACAGAACAGTCCAGCTCAAGAATTGTCACTTTTCTGTAAAACAAGAAAATCCTTAATAAAATATTAAGCAGGCAGGCAAAAAAAAAAAAAAAAGAATTGTCACTTTTCACGAGGACTTAACCCTGTGAGGTATGTGAAGCCAAGGGATGGTGCTGGTGTCTGACCACACCAGTGAATTTCACAGCTGAGCTGAGATTTGAACCCAGGGCTTCAGAAATAGCCTTCGTGCCCCTTCCAGTGGGAGAGGAGAGGTGGCCTTGCTAATCTTCCCCACAAGGGTTTAGACCAGCTTAGTAAGTTTGCAAAGCAGCTGGGGTCTTGCAAGAGGCTGCGTCATATAAGCTGGCAGCTCAGGTTTTGCAAGGGCCGTTTTCATTTGCCTGAAGAAGAGCCGAGCTAAGCGCTAGGAAAGTGGTACTTTTGCAAAGCTGATCCGGAATGAGCATTGCTTAGGAGACCTTGGATGAAGATGAAAGTGGTCTGTGCAAAAAAACAAAGCCAAGAGCCCCTGTTCTTACGCTGTGGATCTCATGCACCCATTCTCTCCTGAGAGACCCAGCAAGGTTTCCCCTATTAATAACAAGGACATGGAGGAATCGAGAATTAAACTTCAGAGAAGAGTGATGAGGAAGATGAAAGGAAGCCAAGACCTGCAGAAGGAATTCTCTACCATTTTCCGCGCTAAAGCAATTATTTGCGTAGACCTGCAGGACGTCCCTTCTGAATCTGAAGATGAGTTTCCGAAAGCGAAAACCATGGGCAGAAAGCAAGAAAGCGGATTTGTCTCCTTGGCCAATGCGGGGAATAGCTGCAGAAAATTTTCAGCTTAAAGACAGGAATTTAATTACAGTGGGGTTTGTGCAGAAAAATATTCCATTGGGCTGTAACTGTTATAAATTCTGGATGTGCAAGAAGCACTCTGAAATAAATATATATATATTTCATTTTCTAGCAACTGCCTGCAAACCCTATTCAAACATTCCAACTTTTTCTTCCAAAGTTTTCCTTTTTTGGTATTTATTTCTTAACTTAAAAGCAAAAATTATTAAAAATCATTTCAGTATTATACGGATAAATTAATTGCTGCCTGCCCCCAAACTCACATACACCACACACAACTGCTTTAGCTTGTGTTTACCCCAGCTTTTCCCAATTGAGAATTTCTTCTTTGTTTAAAAGAAAAAATAACAAGCAGAACATCTTTCAACAACTGAGTGGACACTTTAGGTTCAAGGAGTAAAAGTAGTGCAGTTTGTTTTGACAAGGTTGCCATTAATAGAGTCGGTGAGTCGACTTGGAACATGCTCATTCTGGAGTTAGTATGCGCGCACACACAAAAATATTGTCTGTATCCTTTTGCAATGATCGTATTACAATTAGGCAAAAGCATTTGCAGAAAGACAGTGGGAAGAAGACAAGATCTCTGCCCTGAGCCAGAGAGAAGAGTCCTCCCTATTCCTTTCTGGGTTTCCTTTTCTCTTTTTACCTTCTGCCATGCTGCCCGTCACAGGAGTCCCGCAATGCCCTTCCTTGGTCTCGCCTCCTGTCTCTGCCTCCTCCTGCTTCTGCAAAAGGAGCTCCTAGCTTAGCTCCCCTGCCTGGCGTCTGTCCACTTATATAGTCATCCAGAGAGTGAACACACACACCCCCAGGCTGGGTGTATGTCTGGCCGTGGCCAAACAAAAGTTGTGGCAGAGGAAGGAGGAGGGGGAGAAATGCAAACACATTTCCAGGGAAAATTAAAGGCTGCACTTGTTGAACTTGAGCATGAATGAGTGGGCTTTTCGGTGACCAAGTCAACTGTACCACAGCTGGAGGAAGAGCCCCCTCTAGCCGGCTGATCAGCCACATGTTCTCCCTGGGGGACAAGATGCCACCATTGCTGCGCCCACCTGAAAACTGGGGCTCTTTTGTGGCATTCACAGGGAGGGGTGGGTCTCTTTAAATGCTTTTTATTAGCTTTTCATTTCAAATACGCAAACACAAATATTTCATATCTTTTTACATCTATTTTTCTTTACGCTCCGTAGAGCAACTGACTTCCTTCCCTTCCGCTGGTTTTCTTATTCCAATCTTTAATCTTATTCCAATCTCTAATCCTTAGTAATATCTAGACCATGTCATAAGATTTACTTCAGTCCTACTAACGTTTTCAAATTTCTACAGTTCTCACTTATGTAGTCCATGAATTTAATCCATTCTTTTTGATACTCCTGATTACAGATCCCGTGGGTCAGTTTTGCTAATTCTGCATATTCGAGCATTTTTGCCTGCCACTCCTTCACAGTTGGTAATTCCTGTATTTTCCATTTTTGGGCTATCAGGATTCTGGCAGCAGTTGTAGCACACATGAATAATCTTTGGTCCACCTTCTTAATATCCTCCCCTATCAAATCTAGCAAAAAAGCTTCAGGCTTTTTTGAGAAAGTATATTTAAGCATCTTTTTAAATTCATTATAGATCAGTTCCCCCCAAAAATTCATTTTATCACATGTCCACCACACGTGGTAAAAATCACCGTCCTTTTCTTTGCATTTCCAACATATTTTACTACCCATCCTATACATTTTTGCTGGTTTGACAGGTGTTAAATACCAGCGATATATCATTTTCCTTACATTCTCTTTTAGAGTAGTGCATGCAGTAGAAGAGTTAGGTCTCAATCCTCTTGAGAAACTGCGAGTAAGAGGCAACATGACTGAAGCTTATGAAATTATGCCTGTAACTGTAGAACTCATAGACATCCATGAAGCTGAATCTTGGAAGTTTCAGAACAGAGAAATGAAAGTTGTTCTTCGCACAGGGCAGAATGAAACTGTGGAACTCACTGCTGCAAGAGGCAGAGATGGCCAACCTGGGTGGCTTTAAAGGAAGATTAGGCAAACTCATGGAGGGGAAAGGGCTATTGGCAGTCAGGCTTGCAAGTAGTACATTTGGAAACGATCTGGGGGTCTTAATAAATGACAAGCTGAACATGAGTCAAGATTGTGATGGTGATGATGATTATGATAATAATAATTTATTTTTTTATACCCTGCCCATCTGGCTGGGCTTCCCCAGCCACTCTGGGCAGCTACCAACAAAAGATTAAAAATACATTAAAACATCAGTCATTAAAAACTTCCCTATAACAGGGCTGCCTTCAGATGTATTCTAAATGTCAGGTCGTTGTTTGTTTCTTTGACATGGGAGGGCGTTCCACAGGGCAGCAGAAAAAAACTAATGCTACTCTAGGCTGCATCAACAGAAGTCGAGTGTCCAGATCAAGGGAAGTCATAGTGCCACTCTGTTCTGCTTTGGTCTGATGAAATATACTCAGAGTCACAAAGTGATTTCATGCTCTTTATTCAGCTCATAGTGGTGAGGAGGAATGAATGTCCCCTCAAAGTATCTGCTTTATATACATTATTTACACAATGGGCTGCACATGATTGGCTAATTCCGGAATTCTACTGTAAGCCAATCAGGTTGTGGATTCACTTCTATCTGGAGCATGATTGGGTAGTTCCTGCCAACCAATCATACTGCTGCATTGTTCTAGGGCCAATCAGACTGCTGCATTCTGAATCCTATTGTTCTAGGACCAATCAGACTGCTGCCTTTTGGATCCTATTGTTCTAGGACCAATCAGACTGCTGCAGTTTGGATCCTATTCAACTCAGTACATAACATCTGACCACACCTGGACTACTGTGTCCAGTTCTGGGCACCGCAATTTAAGAAGGAGGTTGACAAACTGGAAGGTGTGCAGAGGGCAACCAAGATGATCCAAGGTCTGGAAACTACCGTAAGCCTTGTGAGGAACGGTTGAGGGAGCTGGTTATGTTTAGCCTGGAAAAGAGGAGACTGAGAGGAGATATGAGAGCCATCTTCAGATATCTCAAGGGCTGTCCCATGCTTGTTCTCTCCTGATCTGGAGGGTAGGACTCGAACCCATGGCTTCATGTTACAAGAAAGGAGATTCTGACTCAACACCAGGAAGAACTTTTTGATACTAAGGGCTGTTTGACAGTGGAACCATCTCCCTTGGGAGGGTGAGGACTCTCCTTCCTTGGAGGTTTTTAAGCAGAGGTTGGATGGTCATTTGTCATGGATGCATTGCAGGGGTTGGAATAGATGACCCTCGGGAACCCTTCCAGCTCTAAAATTCTACGATTCTATGACTGAACAATCACAAGGACATAAGGACACAAGAGCCGGCTGCTGGATGAGACCAATGTCTCATCTAGCCAAGCACCCAAAGCAAGACCTGCAGGCAGGATTCGACCACAAGAGACCTCTCCCCTATTGCAGTTTCCAGCAACCAGGATCCAGAAGCATTGCTAGCTCTGACTGTGGCAGCAGAGCAGAGCCATCATGGCGAATAGCTGTTGAAAGCCCTCTCCTACTGTGTGGATTTATAAAGCCATCGCTACCTCAAGTGGAAGGGAGTTCCATAGTTTAACTACGCAGTGGATGGAGGAGGACCTTTTCTCTGCCCTGCTTAATTCCATGGCTTGGATCTCTCCAACGACCTTCCCCCTGCTTGCCTCGACGCATGTGTGCAGAAGCAGCAGCTGCAGCCTTCTTGACTGTCTCCTTTTTTAAAAATAATAATAATAGTTTTTATTAAATTTTACATTCATCACAAGGACATTATCTCAGAGAAAAAGAAAAATGCAATTCCCATATCTCCCCCCCCCACGACTTCCCTCAACTTCTTCTTCTGATTCTTTACATATTAACACTTCCTGCTTCTTTTCTTATACCTTAATATTGAATTCTTTAAATTGAATATTGTTCTGTTCGTTATTTTCCCATTTTTACACCTTAATCTCTATGCTTGTCTTGTTAATTGTATTTACTCAAACCCTGCTAGTGAGTCCACTTCTTTCCAATGTTTCTGTAAGTATAACGTACTAAATAGTTCCCAGTCTTTTTTTTAAAAAGTCTCTGTTGCCTTTATTTCATTTCTTCTTGACTGTCTCAAGCTATTTCTAGGTCAACATGTTTGACTTAACAGTTTGCTTAGACAATTGAGGATCTTTACAACTTTATAACATGCAGAGAATATGTGCTGAGAAACCAGAGAGAGGAGCTGAGGGAAGTCTGGGTTTTGTCTTTTTAGCAGAGGGGGATTAGAAAAATGGGGAGAGGAAAAAAATGAGGATGATATATTTTTGATAAATTGTTAATTGTTGAAATTCCTAATAAAAAGTATTTTTTAAAAAAACACCACAGTTTGCTTAGACAACCAAGGAGTAAACTGGAGGGTGATGTGACTTGAAGAATCAGCAGCCGCTTCTGAGAAAAGCTGAGTCAAGAATTCTTCTTCATCTCAGCAGATGCTGTTTGCCTTCCTGTCGCCCCTGCAGTTCACCCTGTGGACATTAAAGCAGAAACACAGACTCATGCAGAGACCCCACACCCAGGAACCGCCAGACTCTTTGGTAAATTTCTGGGGCTGATTCTGAAGTCTGGAGTGGGAGGAATCGTATTGCAGTGGGGTCTTGAACTACGCCTTATGAGGAACAGTTGAGGGAGTTGGGGGGAAAGCGATGACAAACCTGGACAGCATCTTAAAGAGCAGAGACATCACCTTGCCGACAAAGGTCCGTATAGTTAAAGCCATGGTTTTCCCAGTAGTGATGTATGGAAGTGAGAGCTGGACCATAAAGAAGGCTGATCGCCGAAGAATGGATGCTTTGGAATTCTGGTGCTGGAGGAGACTCTTGAGTCCCATGGACTGCAAGAAGATCAAACCTCTCCATTCTGAAGGAAATCAGCCCTGAGTGCTCACTGGAAGGACAAATCCTGAAGCTGAGGCTCCAAGACTTTGGCCACCTCATGAGAAGAGAAGACTCCCTGGAAAAGACCCTGATGTTGGGAAAGATGGAGGGCACAAGGAGAAGGGGACAACAGAGGACGAGATGGTTGGACAGTGTTCTCGAAGCTACAAACATGAGTTTGACCAAACTGTGGGAGGCAGTGGAAGACAGGAGTGCCTGGCGTGAATAACAATAAATTCAGAATTCAAAAATCAATTTGGGGGGAAATCCATCCAATAAACATTAGATGATCCCCAGGGCTAGCTGGCTAAATTAGTCCTACTTGGGCAAGCGAGGAGACCAGGGGAGAATTAGCAGTGGGATCCCAGAGCAGGTAATCTTCATAAAAAGGGGAGTGGGAGGGAAGGAAGGGAAATAAAAGATCAGGCTAAATTCAAACTGAAAGCCAGGTGGAATAGCTCTGTCTTACAGGCCCCGCGGAAGGAGGTTAAATCCTGCAGGGCCCTGGTCTCATGGGACAGAGCATTCCACCAGGTCAGAGCCATCACTGAGAAGGCCCTGGTGGAGGATAATCTGACTTCCTTAGGGCCTGGGACCTCTAAACTAGGATTATTCATGGACCTTAAGGTCCTCTGTGGGGCAGACCAGGAGAGGCGGTCCTGTAAATAGTAAGAGCTGTTTGACAGTGGAATGGCCTCCTTCAGAAGGTAGTGGACTCTCCTCCTTTGGAGGTTTTTAAACAGAGGTCAGATGACCATCTGCCAGGGATACTTTAGCTTTTATTCCTGCATTGTAGGGGGTTGGACTAGATGACCCCTGGGGTCCCCCAACTCAATGATTCCTCCAATCCAAGACTATCAATGGCTACTAAGCCATGGTAGCTATGCTCTGCCTCCACCATTGGAGCCATAATCCAAGTTGCTGGAAACCACAGGAAGTGAGAATTGCTTTTGTCCTCAAATCCTGCTTGCAGGTTCCCCAC